CAACGACATGGAAAAGAAACCATGCAGTCGAAGTGGAAAACCGTTTACGGAAGGACAAGTAAAAAATTGTCCAGCATTGGGGAAACAATGCAAAAATTTGAACAAACCAAATCATTTTGCACGTATGTGCAGATTGCAACAATTGAACTAGGTCACGAAAACGACAGAGAGCTCGTGAGAAGCATGTACTTTGATACAAATTTTCGACTTTTGTGTCAAATTTAAAGTAAATAATAGAGAAAAACAATAATCGGATGGATAATATCAATAGTTATATACCAAGAGAACAGAAAACAAACAAAACTGTCAAAAACAAACTATCGATGAATCAGAAAATCAAACAATTGACATCTGTAGACATCTAAAATTGGAGAACATGAAGTCATTAAAAGACTTAGACAGAATTGATAATGAGATTATCAACATGAATGTAGATACCGGAAGCCCGATATTTTTTTTGAACTGGTCAACAGCAAAACAAAGTCTCGAACCATCGGACAAATTCTCGTCAAGTAAAATTGACACCAGCAAAACGTTTAAACCTGCCAGACCCATTTCGTGGATTACAAAAAAATCCCAATGTAAAACGTGGTTCTCTTAGGACAAATGTACGTTTTGCAGGATGGGGAATTAACGAAGCCACATTTCTAATTACTGAACGACGAACAAGAGGTATCCTGGGGCTCGATCTACAGAAAAAGTTGATTAGCACTACTCAAAAACCGGCTCCGAAGGAAAGATCTAGATTCGACATGCTACTGTTCGAACAGTCGGATATTTCAAAAAATAAATTTTATATTAAATACCAAGCCCTTTTCGATTGTCAAGGAAGATCGATACACCACGTTGTTAACACAAAGTTCAAGTTTCCCCTATGACAATCGCCACGACAAGTGCAAGGTTAAGTTGAAAAAGAGATTAATAAATTGTTGTCAGGAGGTCACAATCGGAGGTTAGACAAATGCACAAGTGACTGTTTCATAGCCCACATTGTCGTTACTGTGAAAAAAAGGACGATTACTTTAAATTGGCCTTGGATGCGAAGTTGATAATCAGGCGATTATTCTAAAAATGTACCAAATACCAAAAGCAGAGGAATTGCTCGATGGAGTAAGCCAAACTGTGACTGCAAAAGCAGTAGGTACTCTATATTTCACAGTTCTTGATTTAAGATATGCATACACTCAATTAAAACAAACGGCGGAAACTGCAAAACAGTGAAATTTCAACATAATGTGTGGAAAAACGACCGGTACGTATCTTGTTTTGACCGGATTCCATGTTTTGGCTAATATGCCGGCTGAGTTCCAAAAAGCAATGGATTGCACCCTGAACAATTCAAAGAACACGATTGATAGTTTCACAAGGATCAGAGTCTGAATGCGAAAAATTAATCACGGAGATATTAGTGAAATTAGACAAAGAGAACCTATTCAATAAATTGTTCAAGTGCAAGTTTTTTAAAACTGAAGTCAATTGGCTTAGATATTTTTTGGTAAGTATAAACCATCTTTCGAAGTTTATACCAAACGCCGCGAATCCTACAGATAAACTACGACCGTTGTCACGAGAGGAAAATGAGAAGAAAAATGGGAAAATTTTAAAAACACCAGGAAGGAAAAATGAATGGGGGAGAATCATTCAAAAGTTTTCGAGGAAATTAAAAAAGCAGTGGCCAACATCACGAAATTAAACTATTATGACCCTTTAAAAGAGACACGGGTGAAGTTTGACGCAAATCATAGTGGACTGGGGGCATCGCTGGAGCAACAAAAGGAGGAGGGGGATTAGATTCCAATTTCGTTCTCTTCACGGTACTTGAATAGTCAAGAAAAAAATATTCCACAAGTGAACTTGAGTTGTTGGCAGTTGTTTGGCCAGTTGATCGTTGTAAACACTATTTACTAGGGAAAAAGTTTGTGATACTAACTGATCACAAAGTGGGAATATTTAGGAGGCAACGTGGGACTATTTAGCTTGTCAAAAACTATTTGACAAAATCTGCTGTCGGAGCTCATACCCGAAGATGTATGGATGGATCGCCTAAGACGGGTCATGGAGAGAAACGATCGGACAGGACTCGAGTTGGTGGGCCCGTACATCAACACGATGTGGAACCACCTGTCCGGCGTCGACGATTGTATCTTGGTGGAAAATTGCCTATCAGTGCCAGGACAAATTTGATCGGTTGTAATGAAGAGAACCCCTGATGTCACCCGGGACAAGAGGCCATACTCGACGTATCCAACTACTTGTAGTGGCCTAAGAACAAGATACGGTAAGAACGCAAAATAAATAATCCCAAAAAGTTCCTGGGAACCTTTTCCGCTGCTATCGCAGCCAGGACAATAATTCCACACAGACCATGAGGGTCCCTTAGAAGACTATGAAAGAAAGAAAATCTATCTGCTAGTAGCGACCGACAGATACTCTAAGTTTGCTTCGGTCAAGATTACAAAGTCGACGGGGGGTAAATCTTCAATAAAATTTTTACGCTTGTACATCGACACTCATGGACTACATGAACCAAAAAACAGACCAAGCAACAATAATGAAAAAGTTCTACCTTGAGAATGACATTGAACAAAAACTATGTTCGGCGGGCGACAATCGCGGGGTGTGGTTTGGTTGAAAGATCAGTTCAAACACTAAAACGAAGAATAGGAGTCATGCTGCTTGAGGAAATTGTCAAAGTGATCAAATTCTGTTTTAGTACAATAATTCGGGATATGCGCTTTAAAAAAGAAAAAACAATTCAGTAGTCGCCATTTGAGGCTCATTTCGGCAGGCTACCAAAAACTGAATTGAGGAATATGCGCGATAAGTTCCTACAGAAGTCTGACAGCTTAGATAAGCTGCATCTGGAGAGCTTATCGGAAACCAGCTAAGGAAACGGATAGATCAGTTCCGGGACTCGCTAAAGATTGTAAGAAAGGGACAGAGAAGCAGAGAATACAGTCCGCTGTTTAAGCAGCAAACCCGATCGGCACAAGACAGGGACCGAGCGAGAACATTTAAGGCGTTAATTGAGGCGAACGCAAAGTAGAATGACGAAGGTCGTCAGCTGGCAGGGCGGGGCCTTCAGCAGCTAGTAGATGATACGAGCACAATCGACCCGAACTCAAGAAAGAGTTGTTGTATTCCGGGTATTGTGGGTTTGTCGAGGATAAATTCATGGTGTCAGTGAGGAATCACTATAACCTACTACGTCGGGATGGGGACCGCAGAAGTGGAGCGGCGTTGACATAATCCTCTATAAGGGGTTGTGACAGCGGAGACGTCAACGACTGTAACGACAGCTTCGGGTTCGCTATATAGGAAAAGCGACATTGCTAAAGCGGCAATTCCGTTTAAAAGTTTACCCAACTCGGAAGGAAAAGGGAGCCAGAGGGGGAAGGTAAAAAGCCCCCAGGAGGAGCCGAAAAGCAAACACCAGAAAAAGGACGAGAGCCGGCGTTAGGAAGCGAGTCTGAGCAAGAGGCGCGAATTCTGCTAGATGAGCAAACCAAAGAACTTTTCCAAAACAGTGACACGGCGTTGCCATTTAAGGACACTCCTTTAGGAGGCGGATTAAAATTAGCAATTAGGATTTTACCTAACCAAGGAGGTCCAGCATCTGTGCGAAGAAGCTCAAGGGCAAGAAACCAATTCTGGAGAAGTAAAAAGCAGCAGCAGCAGCAGCAGCAGCAGCAGCAGAGAAGTAAACCTTGCCTAAAACAACTGATACAGCGGGGACACAGGAGCCGTCGAGTAGTTAGTTAACACCGAAAAAATGCAGCCTAAAATTAAAGTTATAAGTAGGGAAACTACGCCCAACACAGTTTGAACACGGTTCAAAAGCAGGACATGGCCCCAGAAGAGTGGGAGGTTTTAGCGGACCAAGTGTTAACAAGGGAAACACAGAAAACAGCAGAGGAAATTTTGAACGCGAAAGAAACGATGTCAGAGGAACATGCGACGGGGAGACCATTTCTCCACCAGGGTTTTCTGGCGAGTCGGTGGTTGAAGAACAGACGGAAGCATCGGTCCGACGCAGTAAAAAAGCCAACAAGAATCAAGGACCCAAGCGTTTTGGCAGCCCGATAAAACAATCAGTGAAAGAAATAAGCAGAGACGAAGATATTGCGGATCTCAACGAACTAGCGCTGGAGACTTATAGGCAGAAACTAGCAATTCTGAAAAGGGACACGAGCAAACTTTTGGAGACAAGGCTGGGCCTTTTGGAGCGTCAATTTTTCCGGAGAAAATTCGGATGCGACGCACTCGACTTATCCAGACCATGGGATGCTAAGTGAAAAGTACCACTCAACTTGACGCATTAAACTGATATTAACTTCTGCACCAACCTCTAAACAAACTGAGTTAAATTTCTTATCATGGAATTAAAATTTCATACGTATATGATAAATTTTGTTGGTCTTCAGGGGAATGTAGTACTGCGATTGCAGTAATCTTGAAGGACAACATAGCTATTAATGCATATGCAGTAGGTGTTTTTATTGATGTTATCTAATTATTTTTTTGATATTATTACGTATAAGTGGTCAAGTCCACAGGTGGTGTTTAGAAGTTTACTTATTATGACTTCAGTGCGCCAAACGCATGCATGGAGTTAAGCCAGTTGATCTGAGCTACGATTAAAAATTAGAAAAGAACACCGAATTACTTGAATTCGATCTTGGAATATCTGTGTTTTATCTATAACAAAACCAACTGTTTTTCGGGGTTATCACAAAAGCTATTGTAAGCCTGCACGATCAAAATTAGACTAAAAATTAGAAATTTGAAACCGGTTTTTCTGGAAGAAAATTTTTAAATATCGTTTAAATTGCGACTGAAAAATTTAACATGAATTTTACTTGACCTCTTCCGATGATTTTTCGTGGTATCTGAATTTTGCGTTGAAAACAAAAAAACTAAAAAAAATAAAACACACCTGAACACAAAAAAAACGAAATCAACGATTCTAACGGGAATTGAAAAGAAAATTAAAAGCAAACCTCAAAAGATTGCAAACGTTCACCCAGAGAGTAAACTTGAGCTTCCAGGTCAGCTTCTGTTTTTGCAGTCTCTAGTTTGTTGAGTCTTGATTCGAGGTCATTAGTTTTATTCACGAACATTAACGTCAGACTTATACACGTTATAAGCAATATCTGAAACAAACATAAATAAAAAAAGTGTTGCCTTGACTTGCCTTGGGTTTGCGTTCCCCTGCTACGACTTGCCTAATAATATCGTAATAATATCGATATTCTTAATGCCTCCATTTCATGTCACGATTAAAATTTTTTGGGAAAAATTTTGCTTCTGGAAACTTGAACATGAGAATGTGTACTATATAATCATAAAAATTAAGTAGCAGACACATATTAATTGGAAGTTTTCACTTGTCGGGAAATTTTATAAAATACAAAAGCTGGTCTGGCATAATTTCTGTAAAGTGGTTGAAAATTAAAACGTTCCTTGTATAAAATTTTAAATCTTGAAAACCTTCTACAACTTTTACAAAGAAATTTTTACAAAGAAATTATCAAGGCTTATCATTGCTTTTCAAAAATTCAATTTATTTCATAAACAGATCATCAAGGCTTTCCTTGGATCTTTGATTTCGATTAAATTAAATTTCGTATCACAGAATTTTCTGATCATTAAGGCTTCCTTTGGATCAATAAGAACAACTTTGTTCTTTGCACCCCATAAATTAAAGTGCCTAACGACCTCAAACGTCGATTCACTCTTCAACTCTTATAAAGACCCAGGGTTCACAAAATTTTTGAACAACTCGCCATTCTTATTAAGGTAGACAAGGAAGAACTTCAGTTACTCATCCTTCACTTGAGCCGTTCCTGTTAGATGACCCGGGCTGAAACCCTTAACAATAATAGTAAGTTTTGAAACAGTATCTAACGATCTACTTGTGTTCTAAATGAGACTGAAGTTTGTGGATTGGTTTACTATTCTCCAACGCTAGATTACAAATCAAACCCTTAGGTAAGATTAAGTAATTTCATCATATATCAGATCTATTCACGAGAAAGTAAAAATCAATCTCACGAATTGATATACTCTCTCTCCAACCCGTCAACCACGACAACCTATGCCCGAAGTTAACATAACCACACAAAAACCATAAGAACTATTAGTTTAGGAAAAAAGAAACTATAACCCCCGAGTATTGCACCCATCACCTTAAGCCTTATGTCAAAAGATAATCCAGGCAGTTAACAAACAATCATAATACAAAAATTGATTAATTGAAAACGAAAAATATGATTTCGTAATGACACCACACATACAAACATTAGAATATATCAGATCAAAAAGACAAACACGAAAAAAGACACTAATAGCAAAACAAAAACAAATTATCAAAAGACGATTTTCGAGAAACTTCAGAATCAGATACAGGAACTTCAAGACCTGGAAGACTCAATAAAGAAAACCAGATAGAAAATCAAAAACATTTTTTGACCCAGAATCTACATCAATATCGTCAATTATGAGTAAACGTTGAATTAAAAATTCATGCATTAATAAACCAGTACAACTGTACAATTGGAATCAACCAAAAAGCACATTGAAAGTTACACACTAACAGTTTTAAGACACCAAATATGATCGAAAACGAAAAAAATTTACATTATAACTCAAAAATTCCATTTATTTTGCATCCGCAATGTGATCCCGCTTGAGGACAAGTACAATTTTGTCACAATTTAAGTGGTAACTTATTCGAAATGGGAAGCAGTCCATGTAAACAGGAGTTTCCTGAAATAAGAAGAAAACGACAAATTCTTGATCTTTATTTCAAAGGCATATGTAATATTACCTCTTATTACGGTGTATTCACAATCGAAAAACTACCACCACACTCAAACCAAGCAAGACATTAAATACAAACAGATGACATAGGTATAGAGTTCTCAAAAGTGTTCACAGAATATTATACAACATCAAAGTTCACAAAGAGCAAATTCAATATTCACAAATGAAATGTTTTTATTATTTATAGCTATATATCTATGTTATAACTGAAAGAAACACAACATGAATCACCGCCTCAAACATCCCGACACACAACTGTAAGACAAGAAACCTCTCTTTTCTCAAAATTTCTAGATACAATCCATGAAAACCTTATTAGCTTGAAGTTTCTCAAAACGTGAAACATGACCTGCAGAGAATACTAGCATATTTCATAAATGAATATTTTTTCCACAACCTTGTTTTCATAGCAGTATCAAGAAAATGTTATTCTATCACAAAATTAAGACGATGAAACTTTATTAGCAGATCAAACAAACTATGTTTGGGACACTGATCGGTCTCATCCCTTATTTATTGATATAACAACCGACATATCAAGTGCAGCAATCAACACTATCTGTACATAAAGACTATGTAGGAGTAACTCCACTTACTATTGATGTCGCACTTTCAAATTATAATGCAATGTTTACTGATAGAACAGGAAATAATTGTTTGAATTCCACATTCATTATTACCCAAGAAACCCTAAATGGAACAAGAAATCTTACACAACAAGATATTCAAATCCCATCACAATTTATTAATAAAAAAATAGTTGAAACAATGCCAACAACAACACAACCAAGCTTTTCTCCCATTCATCCTACACTTACAACACCACATAATAAAAGCACTACTTTTCCTCAGACAACCATACAGTCCATAATAAAACCATCTGTTACTTCAAAATACTCACAATTGGGTTATCAAACAATTAGACAAGTAATGAAATCATGAAAAAATAAAATAAATGTATTCCCATTGAAATAATTTTTCAGAACATAACTACGATTTTTTAGCAAAAAATAAAACAACAAAACCTAGTCATATAAGTAGTCAGAATCAACCACATGCACAATACTACAATTGAAAGATATCACAACAGAACCCTATTCAGATTTCATCAAAGATCAACAACGATCTACAATAGATCACAAGAAACCAATCACATTGTTCAGAAGTTCAGAAGATGAAGACTATTTCAATCAAAATCAACAACAATTTAATACGAATCAATTAATTAATAATTGAAACAATGATCAAACAGATCCTATATATTAATCAGAGATTTTTCAACCTCATACAGGAAATAAACAAGCACGACAATCAAGGCAAATCTTCCAACCAAGACAAAATTCAGTATCAATTAATAATAGTTTACAATCACAAAATCCTATAAAAACACAAAGCTACCAACCAAATCAAATGCAAAATGAAATCCAATTACATGATGGCAAAAACACGAAGCTGACAGAAGTCATAATGATGACTCTAACACCACAGCTACCAAAAATAGCAATAAAAAAGAGAGAATCACAACCGTCATCAATTCGAGAATCCGATATAGATTTCCGAAAACTAGTAGATAAACTAGAACAAGCTGAAATTACTATGAAAATAGAAGAAACAGAAAATCTCAAACTACAATATGTTAGTAATATTGCAACCACTACAACACAGATAAATAATATACACAATTCAGATATAGATTTATGCGAAAAAATATATGAAATTTTGAATATGTACGAGAAAATTCCAAATTTTAAAGGTAAACCATCATTCAAAAAAAGGTGCAACTATTGCCGAAGATACGGACATAGCCAATAGAACCAAAACTAGAACAAGCTGAAATTACTATGAAAATAGAAGAAACGGAAAATTTGAAATTGGAATATGTAAATAATATCCAAACAACAACCTCACAGTTAAAATAGTTTTCATGACTCTGACACTGAACTAGCAGAGAAAATCACTCAAATATTAAAGATCTACGAGAACAATCCAAACTTCATAGGTAAACCATCATTCAAAAAAGCGGTGTAATTATTGTCGCAATTATGGAAAAATGTATTGCAGAGTTTAGACAAAAACAGCAAGATAATCAAAATAAACCACAGAAGCATAGAGCACCATGCAAATTTTTCTTTCAATATATGAAGAAAGATCAAAATTTACCAAACAAAACTATCCATAGTAATAATTCCCAGATAACTATAATAACTATAGACTACAATTACCTTACCAAAAAAATTATCGCCGAAGATCTCCGGCTCGATAAAATTCACAAAACTTCTCACAAAATAGGTATCGCAGATCTGATATTCGAAATAATCAATGTCGGAACAACTACTAATGATCCAACTCAAACAGAAGTAATCACTCAAATTGTAATAGAAACCGTTCCTATTCAAACTCTCGGAATATATATCATTCAAACGACCATTCTAGAAACTCCTCATTTAACCAAAACCGAAACTATTCAAACAAAAGAAGTAGACAATACTCAGATAATAGATCACAAAACTATTCAAACAATAGATCGTACTACAAAAATAGTCTTAATAGATCACCTGACAACTCCAGAAATTGAAACAATAACTACCCAAATTGACAAAAAAAGTAAGCCTCAGTCTCCACATAGAAATAACACACCATATACAAATTCACAACAAAACTATAGAAGCAGTACACCTAAGAATCAAAGGCAAATTAACCAAGTACAATCAACTGAAGAAACTCAATTAGACCCTCCCGGTATTGACAAATTAAAATATTCGCAATTACAGTTAAATCACATACATTGTGAATCCACAGAATCCAAAGAAAACACGCTTTCAATAAACATGTTTCATATTGAAAATGAATACGAAACACCAATTGATTCAAATTATTACCAAAACGATGAAAACTTTGATATCTTCCAAAAGTCAGACACAAGGCAAATCACAACAAATTATACTAAACAGTAAATTGTGGAAAGCTCAAACATGAATCATAATATGTATCAAAATACAACAGTAAAATAAATAAAGAAAGAATAGGACAATCGCACTTTTCTTAGAAAGTCCAAACAGAAAAGATTCTCAATCACCAGACCAAGAAATTGATTTTTTAATTGACTCAGGTGCAGAATCAAACCTTGAAAACATCCCAACATGGATGGAAATACAGACTTTACACCAAAAATTGTCACCTTCATGCAAATTAGCTACAGCACAAGCATCAAGTTTGACTTTGTGAATATAAGTATTTTTGAGTATTCATTTTAGAGCGTTTTGTTGTTTTTGGTCCCTTTACATAAATGTAATTTTGTTCTGCAAAATTAATTCTATGTGATGTTTGTTGTTTATATGATGGTATTGATACTGGTCGAAAAATTAGATAATCCATTTGTGAATATTTTTGTGCATCAGAGGGTTTTACTGTGGATTGTATAATTGTTTGTTGTAACGTTGGGTTTTTTAGTTTTGGAGTTGTAAAATTAGATTGAATAGGTGAAATGCTTCGTTGTGCTTCTGTTGTTGTTATTGTTTCAACTATTTCTTCGCTTACAAAAAGTGATGGAGTTTGTATATCTCGTTGTGTAAGAATTCTTGCTCCATTTAAGTTATCGTTATTTTTAAATGTAGAGTTTAAACTATTAATTTCTGCTCTTTCAGTGAAGAATGAATTGTAGTTTAAAGGTGTTGCGTCAATTGTGAGTGGGTATACTCTAACATGATCTTTGTGAATGGAGAGGGTACCACCCAGGGTCCCAAACATAATGTGATTTGTACGTTTTCGTGAATTGTTCTGCTAGTACGTTTTCGTCATCTGTCTTTTTTGGTCTAAAATTTTTTCTTGCTTGAGCGATAAGATCAATATTATGACTAAAATAATCGATTATGAACCATGCTAGGATTTTTTGTAAGTCATGTTTAACATGTTGTGTTATGTCATTACTTGTTAGATCTTCTCTGATTGCATTTAAAAGTTTTGAAAATGTGTGTATTTCTTGTCCTACAATCTTATGTCGAGATGTTTGAGTTGGTGAATCGCTTTGAGGTTCTTTCATTTCAAGTAGAGATATATAGCTATAGATTAGTGAGAATACATCAATTGTGAATATTGAGTTTGCTATTATTGAGTTTTGGTGTTGTATGCTTTTAAGGTATTGTGTAAAAACGTTTGAAAATTCATTACCTACATCATCAATATGATTGAGATATCTGACATTTGGTGATTTGATTTCTATTGTGTAGATTCCATTTTGTAATGTGAGACTACATATACTTTTGAGATAGTAGTCAAGAAGTTGTCTTTTGATTTTTACATCGGGAAATTCTCTTATGCACGGACTTTCTCCCTTTTCGAATAAATTTGCGATTAAATTTTGGCAAAACTGTACTTGTTCTCGAGCTTCAGTTAATGGATGTATTAAAAATGGAAGCACTGAATCTTCTAAGTTATCTTCATTTCGAATCGTTTTTGTGTTGTATGACTGTTAGCGTATAATTTTCAAGTTGTCTTATTGAACGATTCCAATTGTACAAATGTTTTGGTTTGTTTGTGTAGCAATTTTTTATTCTTAGTTTGTTTCCCTTTTAATAATGCTGTTGACGTGGTTTCTGAGTCAGTGAAATATATTTGATCGTCAATTTGATGGTTTTTATTTATTGAGTTTTTTAAATTGTGAACTTCTTATAACTCGATTGTTTCTGATTCTGAGACTGCAATTCTTTGTTTTGAAAATATTTTCCTAAAAAAATGTTTTTATTTGTTAATAATTTTCTTTCTTAGTGTTTGTCTTTTTCTTCTTGTATATCTTACTGATTGTCTGGGTGGTGTGATTACGAGGTCGTATCTTTCGTCTTTATTTAAACAACTGTGTATTATGGTTGTTTGTTTGTTTCTTAAATTGTCTCTTGACAAAAGGCTTAGTATGATGGGTGCAAAACTTGGATTAGTGTTTTTTAATCTCTTAAACAGTTAGTTCTTACGATTTTTTGTGGTTAGCTTAATTTGGGTCGTAATTGTTGGGTTGGAGAGAATACGTATATCAATTCGTTACAAGGGTTTTAAATTTCTCGTGACCAATTCTAAGTTAAGATAGACTTGCCTAATTTTACTTAGGGGTTGTGATTTGTGATCAAGGGTTGGATAATAGTAAATCGATCCACAATGTGCAGGTACAATTAGAACGCAATTAAATCGTTAGATACTATTTTATGACTAACTAAGTTTAAGTGTTTTAGCCTGGGTCATCTAAGAGGAGGGGGACCAAGTGAAGGATGAGTAACCGAAGTTTTTCACTGTTTATCTTAATTAAAACGGTTAGCTTTTTGAAAAATTTCTGTTAATCTTGGTTCATCGATAAGGGTTGGGTAGTGAATCGACGTTTGAGGTCGTTATACACTAAATAAATTGGGAGGGGGGGGGGGGGTAACAAAAACGTTCTATTTGATCCAAGGATAGATCTTGATGTTCAAGAATTTAGATATAAATTAATTTAATTTAAAGATCCAAGGGAAGCCTTGATGGTCTGTTCTTTAAAATGAAATTAAATTAGGTGAAAACAAGAATAAGCCTTGATAGTTTAATGATAAAAGATTAGGGTTAAGTTTTAGCTTTGATGATTTTTAGTTTTTGAGATTTTTGTTATGTTTCAGGTGATGAAATTGGGATGAAGAGATGAATTATATATACTAAGGATGTATGATTTATACTAACTAATTTTTGTATTTTTGTATTCAATAAATGTTTTTTCAAGATGTTATTAATTTTACAGCTGATTTAAGGAAAACGACAAATGTTGTTTTTATCAGTCGTTACACATAATTATTAGGTTCAGCGCCATGAAAAGTTATTGAAGTAGGTTCTTCAAAATTTTGTGTAAGTAAAATGAAAAGTTAAATTTACTGCCTGTAGTATCCTAAATATATAAGTTTGATCTGGTTTTTTTCGTACGATCATGAAATCGATTGTTAGATTTCTTCCTAGTCGTATGTCTTCTCTTGTTCGAGGTCTTCTTTCAATACCTGGTGGTTCTCGTATTGTTCGGAATATGGGATCTGATCTATTGAGTCGTAGAGACATATCCAGTAAGTTTTGTCATATAACGTTTTTGAAATGTTGTATTTGTCGAACCCTAATCTAATTTTTAGCTAAGTGTAGGTTAGTTAAGGTCTGTTTGAGACTTTTGGTCGCACCAGATGAGTTCTGTACGAATTACTATACTCATAGAGTAATTTCAGATAAGGTACACAGTCTGCTCGTCACGCTATCTTGTTTTCGGCCTGATAGATTCGTGCAACTTCTTAGTCTAATACCAATCTTAATCTTACTCTTATATCTCCTAGTCTCAATAGACACAGTCTGCTCGTCACGCTATCTTGTTTTCGGCCGGATAGATTCGTGCAACTTCTTAGTCTAATACCAATCTTAATCTTACTCTTATATCTCCTAGTCTCAATAGATCTAGTGTTCACGCGTTTACGAGAGTTAGTTCTAGAATGAGAACGACTGTATTCTAAGTTTAATTCAAACTGTTCTGGTGTTGAAACTTCAAGTAGTTTCAACACTTACAAATAAGTGGGTTGTGAGTTTGATGGAGTATGATTGGTTAGTACTTAAGACTTTATAGAGATAAAATATCATAATAATAACCAATGATAAACTCTCGTTCAGATCTGGTTCCAAATCTTGTGTAACTGCTTTTCCAACGTTCATTCACACCATCGGCAAGTATGTTGAACCTGATCAGTTTTCGTCCGAATCTGATAAAAACAACATGTTTGCCTGGAATACCGCAGCTAATCGAAATTCTCTTGAAAAAAAATTGCTTTTTAAAGTTTAACTATTGCTTAATTTTCCTGTTCAAAATTTTTTAGTTTTCATTATCTTCTGAGTAGATACAAGTGAAAATTATGCTAAAGTAATTTAAAACTTAAAAAAAGTCTTTTTCTAAATCGGAGAATAATCGAATGTGGAAGTTTTTCTGATTGAACAAACGCTGATGCAAAAAAAGCACACGTTAATCAAAACACACGAAAAAAGGCATTTAATGGTTGTGTAAACTGCACTTAATGGTTGTAAACAACAAAGAAAAGGTTGAAAAAATTAGGCTAACTTTTTGTGTCTCAATGAAAATAATCAGTTAAAATATAAGACTAGAGGCAAGTTCCTATATTTGAGCAGAAAAAAGTCTTTTTGATAACTCTTAATCTTAACTAAACAACTGGGACAAAAGCATCGATGTTCTTCGCATATAACAAAAATTTTAATTTCAAGTTTAAGCTATTATTTCACATTTTTCTTTAACAGTTTTTTTTGCTGTTTTAGTTTTATTATCTTTGTTCAGTAGATGATAGTGAAAAAAATATTGGCGAACAACTTGCATACAAAAAACTTTACTAATAACTTCTTATGCTTTTTCTTCTAAATCGTAGAATAAGAGAAGGTTACATGAAAAAAAATATAATTCGTGGTAGCCCGAGTCGAGATTTTTCACCTAATTTGAAGCAAGATTTGAGCGGTTTGAGCGGTTTTTTTAGACAATTACGCTCAAAATCTTGCTTCAAAATGAGCGGTTTGAATGGTTTTTGAACGGTTTATCTAAAAAAACCGCTCAAAAACCGCTCAAAAACCGCGCAAGATTTGAACGATTTTGAGCGGTTTATCTAAAAAAAACCGCTCAAAAACCGCGCAAGATTTAATAATAAAAAGTCGACCGCAGAGGGATTCGAACCCCCAATCTTCTGCTTCGAAGTCAGACGCCTTATCCGTTAGCCCATGCGGCCTTGAAAATAGTGTCGTGCAGCGAAGCCAATATAAATTACGCACCACAATGAATACTGAATACTCTGCATTCTAATTCATGCTTTTGAAATTCCTGTGACAGTGATACGTACCTCAGAACACAGGTATCCATAGTACTGTGCATCGTATCCGTCTATATAACCTTGGTCGCATCGTCTCCGCTTCGGTCTGCAAAGACGCGCCGTCTCCACCTCGATCGCGAAAGTCTTGAAAGTGCACATTTTGGTCGCGCTGGTCAAACGGTCGCGCCGTTGTCTTTGGAGTCGCGCCGTTTCCGCCTAGGTCGCGAAAGTCGCGCCTTAGTTTTTCGGTCGCGAAAGTATGAACATGAGTCTGGGACCTCGACACGGGAAGACCGCTCAAAAACCGCTCAAAAACCGCTCAAATCCTGCTTGAAAAACCGTTCAAAAATCACCGCAAGAAGTGAGCGGTTTTTGAGCGGTTTTTTAAACAAGATTTGAGCGGTTTGAGCGGTTTTTCCAAAAAAAACGCCCAAACCGCCCAAACCGCTCAAACCGCTCAAATCTTGCTGGAAAACCGCTCAAACCGCTCAAATCTTGAGCGGTTTTTGAGCGGGATCTCGACCCAGGAGGTTTTTATAGAACAGTTTGCTGATGCAGAGGGAAGGCGCACTAGCCAATGATTGTTTCGAATTTATGCTTGGCACGGTTTTTCATTCTCTCTTCTTCCCCAATCGAAAAACTGTGCAAGTAGCGCGGAAGGTTCCGACCACAGTCTTGAAAAAAAACTTTTTTTTCTAATTGTTGTCGTTTTTTCTGCATGTTGTGATAAAAAGATCTGAATGAGAAAATACAATTTGGGCTTATTTGATAGCCATATTAAAATAAGTCAATTTGAAATTGGAAAACAATTTTTGAAGAAAAATGACTAGAAAAACAAAACAAAAAATTGCAGTAACTTTTTGAACTTCAAATTTTGATTCCCAAAAAGCAACTCCAAAAACTATCTTTATTTGTGTAAAACTAAATTTTCACGGCTTAAATTAAGCTTAAAAAAGCTATTATAAGCCTACACGTCTCATTAGCTGGAAAAAAGACCTAACTAAGTAGCTCGAAATTAGACAAATAATCAAAAACAAAAACCGGTTTTTCTCGACACTGCGAAAAAAAAATTAAAATTTTTGATGTTGTTCGAATCACGACTGAAAGGGCCTCACTAAGTCCTGTCAGATAACTATTTGTGGTAGCTTATTTTGCGCGAAAAACAAAAAAACTAAAACGCGCCCGAATACAAAGTTCCTACCATTTTCAACAGTCGGAACCAAAATAATTTTACCTAAGGTTCTGAGAGTTAGAAAATACCCAACTTGGTTATGACCTGGACTAATTTATTCACGCTGTGAACATTTTGTGTGTGAACACATGTGTACTGGCACAATTTAACCAGCTGATGCATGTGAAAAAAAAACATTAAAGGCATTAGCGATGAACTCGCGATGAAAAGGAGGCTCAGAATGTTCTAGGATTCAAAACTTTCAAAACTTTGATGTGAGCTAGAATGTTTCTGAGAAATACGAGAAACGGTCCTTTTGACCGAAAAATACACAAAACAAAACAAAACAACCAGACACAACCGGATCAATCAGACGGAAATTAGTCGAAGGAGATACGAGAAAAACGAAGCCTCTTATCGTGATAGCGAGACGGGATAAGGCGCTCATCGGAGGAATATCGAGCAGAAGGAAGGTCCATTGGGGCATCCGGAGGGGATTCGAACCCTCCCGTCCCACGAAATTGGAGAGAAAACGACGTTACCTCCGAGAGAGTAGGGAATTAGAGTCCCGGTGCCCAGAGACTGTGAAAGACTTTAAGTATACATTTTGGCTACTGTAATGCCCTGAACGATTTAATTTACTCCAGTATTGTTTAGTATTTCAGAGCATGAGTAGTTAGATTAGAGGAAAGAGTCAATCCATTTCGATCTGTCTATAACTGTCACTAAAAACATGGTAAATTAGGGTATTCTAGCCGTGTTTGTATTAGTATTCTGGGGATTCGAGACCCAGCAATGTGTTTTTGCATGTAAACGAAAGCTGATCAAAAGTCGTTTGTGGCCTAAAATGGTAAATTTTTACTTAACCCTTAACAGACCAGAAAAATAACTGGCTAGGTCTAGACGATTAAAAACGAGTAGAATCATGATGACTGACGTCAGCCAGTCGTCAGTAGGTACATTTTCTACGCTCCGTCACTCTGCAATGTGTGGGAGAATATTACATTGTTCGTAAGGATGAAAGCGTAATGCGAATATTTTATGAGTGGCCAATTATCTCACTCTATAAAATCTTCTGCAATTTTAATTGATGCTAGCTAATCGGCCGTTTGACTTTCAAACGGTTCAAATTTGATGTTTTATATTTTGTCCAAAATGTATACTTTTTCAATGTTTTATTTTCCCTGAAACTAATCGATATGGATCAAAGCGCAGTCGGACCATTCAGGGGTTTGGCATGATATATGGACTGTCTTGTTAAATTATTGAGGACACTTTAGATAGCCGCCTCAGAACCTGAAGTCAATTTAAAAAACGACCAAGATAGTACACAATTTTTCATCGTGTTTTGAGCAATCAGTCAGTTAAACCATTTTAAATTTCAGCTGCTCGGACAAAATCAAGCTTAAGCATTTCCGTGATTATAGAGTGCTATGGAGCCCAGCTCTAAGATTAAAATCAATCTTTCCTAAAAACGTTTATAAAGCTTTTTTTTTTGGAAAAAAACAGGTTTTGAGAGTTTTCTTTTCAAGTTCCTCTGAATCTGTTTTTATCGATAGAAAAAAATTAAAATTCAAATACTCAAGAGAGATATGGTCTCGATTAGACATAACAGTTAAAACCTGCTCCATTTGATCTCAATTGTCCATTTCCAGAAATGATGAGAGCTACAAAGTTGGCATCTTCCATGAAATCTACTTTTCTGACTCTTACATTTAACGTTCACATTTTCTTTGAGTTGCACGTCATTGCAGACTGAATCGGCCATTTTAAAGTCATACGTATGCAGCGTGTTGAGTTTGTAGTAGGTTTATAAATTAGAGTTTAGTAAATATACATCATTCCAAATGATTGGTACACACATACTGTTTAACTTCAATACGATTTTTTAAATGCATGATTTAGTTATCTAGCCCAGGTTGACCAAAAATGCTAACCAAACAGTTTCCATATAGAAAAACATGCTAATAGTGCTAAATTTCATGCAATTTCATTAGGACAGAAAATTGCATGAAAAGCTTTTAGTTATTAATTTTTCAATATATATGAGTTAAAATAGATCAAGGAAATGTATAAAAATTTAGAAAAACGAAATGAAAATGAATAAAATAGCCAAAGCCAAAACAGGTTTGAAACATTGAAATCAAAGGTGAGCAACAATTTTTTCAAGACGCTCAAAAGGCGAATCTTAAATCCTTAGTTCTGTGCTTATAGGAAAATAAGTGTCCCTTCTACTTTCCATAAAATGTTGATCTCTTCAATAAGAAGAAAAAAGTCACAAAAAGGCGTTAAGATGAGTGTTAATTGTTGATGAGTGTCAAGATGAGAGTTTCAAGAAACGGAATGTTTTGTCACTTAAATTTTCAAAAACAATTTTATATTTTTTCTATATAAATCTTTATAAATCTTGTATATGAATCTTTTATAATTTATAAACTTTATCAGATGAGGATTTTTTAGGAAAGCAGATAAAAAGTGCTTCCGGAGTTTTAATTATTACTCATTACGAAGCCAAGCTGTGCATGGAACTGGAAGTCAGAGACAGGTCTTTAAACATGTTAAAATTTTGTCGGAACGTTATAAAAACGAAAGAACAAAAGAACCAAATACATACAAAAAAGGTGGAGTTGTTGTGGAATTCGCTCACTATTCACAAAATACACAGCTTGGCCTCGTAATGCTGGCTATTGAAAATTCTTGAGATCTGCAGAAAACCTAAGAACCATCAATTTTGAATCAATTGAATTCTCTGGAGCGAAAGCAATTTTTGTTTAAAAAATTGACTTCCCTGGGCACTTTGAGGAACGTATATACATTTTTCACAGGCCAAAAATGGACGAAGAAAAGTTGAAGGAATTGATAACAACCCGCACTGACAACCCGCACCAAAAAAAAATATAATCGATTAAAAATGGATCCTGATCTATTTTTTTGACAAACCAAAAATCCATTTTGATCAATTACAATCGATTATAATGGATTATTGTTCCGACTTTCGATACGAAGTAACGGAATATTTGTGCTCGGGGTGGGTTTTTTTTTCTTCAGACAAATTTCGACTTTTTACCTAGCCATTTTTGACGGAATTTTTAAATATCATTCGAAAGGTATTGTTGTCCTGAGCTTAAATTTGAAAAGATATTTCATCTGTGATCATTTTTCGTAAAGTTATGGGGGTTTAAAGATTGCCATTTTGGCCAATTTGGGACAATTAACGCGCGATAAATTTCGCGCTATTACGCGTAAGCGGAGATTTAATCAGTCTTAGAAATCGTTCCAAATTGGTTAAAAGAAGCTTATTTGCCATAATTGATCTGTTACAAGGAGCAAAATCTATCCTTTTGTACTTAATATGGCGTGTGGGGGGATGATTTTCATAAAAAATTTAAAATTTCAGAAAAAAAAGTTTTCATTTTATTTTTTTACCTTTGATTTTTTTTATAGGTTATTACTGCTCCATAAACCTTGATAGGCAGTCGGAACATTCAGGGCTTCGCCCTGATACGAGCAGGCTTGTTTGAATTGTTTTCTAAAATTAGTCTGAAAATTTCAAAATAGCGCAGTTTTTTCACCAATTTTCAGTTGCTTACGATTTACCGCACTTTTTATTGGAAAATTGCAACTTGGAACTTGTTTTGGTTTACAAAATTGCTATCTTTTTTTCCAAACTTTTCTCTTCACAATTTTTGTTCCGACTTTCGATACGAAAGTAACGGAATATTTGTGCTCGGGGTGGGTTTTTTTTTTCTTCAGACAAATTTCGACTTTTTAACTAGCCATTTTTGACGGAATTTTTTTATATCATTCGAAAGGTATTGTTGTCCTGAGCTCATATTTGAAAAGATATTTCACCTGTGATCATTTTTGGTAAAGTTACGGGGTTTTAAAGACCGCCATTTTGGCCAATTTGGTACAATTAACGCGCGATATATTTCGCGCTATTAACGCGTAAGCGGAGAGTTAATCCGTCCTAGAAATCGTTCCAAAT